AAAAAAATCTCAAAAGTCAAACTTTTGCTTTTTGTTTTCGTTTCATTGCGTAAGTTTGCTATAGTATCGATTTTTTTTTTAATCAAAAGAAATAGGATGTACTTCCTGTGTGACTCCCACCATTCGGTATTTTGTCTTGTTGTTCGTCATCATCATTCAAACACATTGCTAAATATAGCTGGCCAGATTCTTCGGTAAAGCTTTTTATAGAATGCAAATTTATTATTTTTAATTAATGACTCATTTAGACACTATTCATGTCGAAAGAACAAATGGCAATCACAAAGTTTTAAAGTATTATAAGAATTTGTTTATATCAAAATGTGATAAACACATACTGATTGAAAAGTGCATGCAGAGGCATGCATAAAGATTATCTTTCTACTGCCTTTCATAGTTTCGTTCTGATGAAGGATACGTGGGAGTTGAGTTTTGTTATGATGGTACCTGCCTCTAAACATTAATCTCATAAGTCATGAGAATGATTGGCATGTGGTGCACCCTTTTAATAATGTGGATTTGTGAAGGAGAATACAATTTGGCTTCTTTCTTTTTGAGGACCAATCGCATATTAAACGCATTATTAGACATATGAAATGGTGCACTGTTGGTTTAACTTATGTTCACACAATCAACTGCAACACATAAGGCAGGTTGTGTTTTTAAGAACATAAAGTGCTTTAGTACATGCTGTATTGTCAGTGTGTGTATATCAATGTGTGTTTGTTTGAGGTATGTCTTGTCATTTTAACTGCACCTTTTAGTCACATGTGGTGGTGTTTATTTACGCTGAACACTTTTAAACTGATTTATGGCATATAGCTTCACACTTTGACGTATCATTTAATGAAGATTTATGCAAGTGATGCTATGTTGGTAAATGAGTTTGCTTTGCAGGTGCAAATATTTGCAGTGATGTGTTTTTTTCCCCTTTTTCTCAGAGATGTTATTAAGTGTGCAAATATTTTTGGCCTCTAGTCTCCCTTTGGTCACATAACCATTTTAATGATAGTAAGCGTGTCACTGCCATTTATGAACTGTGTCCCACAGAATGCATTAAATTGATCAAAAGTGACAGTAAATACTTATTTCAGATCATTTCTGTTCTTTTGAACTTTCTATTCATCAAAGAATCATCACAAAATGAATTACAGTTTCCACAAAAATATTGAACATCACAACATTTTCAACATTGACAGAAATTAGAAATGTTTCTTGAGCACCAAATCAGCATATTAGAAAGATTTCTGAAAGATTATGTGACACTGAAGACTGGAGTCATTAGATTATACATTTTAAAATATTTAAATAAACTGTTATTTTAAAGTGTAATAATATTTCACAATAGCCTATTACTGTTCTTACTGTATTTTTGAGGAAATAAATGCCACCTTGGTGAGCATAAGAGAGTTATTTCAAAAACATTTGAAATGCTGACCACAAACCTGATTGCTAGAGTGAGTTTATTAATAACTGTACAAACCAACTATAGCTCCTATTGAGTGACAGTTTAATTTTAGACTAAATTTTTGTGGTCTATTTTAGTTTGGTGTTTTTATTGCTGGAAAATATCTATCAAACACAACATACATACTGGGTTTTAAACTGTATTTATGTCCAAAATTGGTAAAAAATGGCAAACCTCACATTATATTTTAGTTAGTTTAAGCACCTGAGGTTGACAATCAACATTTTCTGAAGGTTAAATGCACTTCCTTTAACCATTTGTTGAAAAGACAAAAATGTTTATCTATTTTTTAAAAATTCCAAATATTTCATACATGTGCTAATGATTCACCTGTCATTTCAAGACACTGATGCTTATGTCTTGATCTGAATCTCAAAAGATTTTTTTTTTTTTTGAGAATAGTAGGGAACAATGTTCCAGAGGACTGCTGTCAGACACTAAACATTCTGTAGAAACAGTACATTCCACAGGGACTTATATAACATATTCAAACAGTTGTTTTTTCTTGATCCCCTTATCAAAAGGCCTACTCTTCTCTCTGTTTCAAGCTAAAAGAGGTCATGATGTGAGCGGTGGGCTGGACGTCTGAGACGTTACGTCACCACGGATTCAGACAAGAACATTCTGTTCTGAGGTCAAAACATCAGTCCTCAAACATGCCCAAACAGAACCCTGGCCTTATGTAATGTCACGATGTAATGCTTTTGACATGGACACTGATGCAGAAGGGAATGACAGCTCAAACAAAAGCAGACTAAACCTAATTTATAGACTCAACCTAAATACCTCAAAACATACGTGTCCCATTGAGATGTACTGTTCCTATACTTGGGTCAAACTGGACTAATTTTTGTACTCATTGCATAATGTTTCTGTACACCCACTGATTAACGCTGGACACAACCTTTGAAAGGAAAGAGTTTTTTACCCACTATTCCTATCTGATGTTCATATGATTCATCGTTTCCTCTGGCCAAATCTTGCCTCTTATTTTAGTGGCGTGTGGTCTGCATTCCAGATGCCTGTAAGGGGAGGGAGGGAGGGGGGGGTATGGGATATGTAACACCCCCACAAACCTCACTTCCCAGCAGCGGCGTGTTTTCACATTCCGAAACTGTGAGATCATTTTCCACTGAAGCCCTCAGAATAATGTCTATTCAGTGGCCCTAACAACAACGTCCTTCATATGGTACCAATCGCACAGATAGAGCCTTTGAGCTCTGTACCGCACAACAACAACAACAACAACAAACAGACTCCAGTCTGTAAACTCTACTAATGTCAATGCAATATTGTCAGGGGGCTCTTTGATTTCTTCTGTGAATGAGCTTGTCCCTTCTCAGTTTCACAAATGTTTTTGTACGGAGACTGCAGGAGGGAGAGAGGGAGAAAGAAACAGGGAACACTAAAGCCAGACATCAAAGAAAAAAAGAAACCAAACACCATTCTGAGCACAAAGCTCTCATTGACGGCATCAGCATTCTTTCTTAAAAGCCGAAACCTGTTCATTCTCAACACAGAAATTCTAGAATCAGCTGTTTTATGATTCTAGGACTTTTTGTACAACTTCATGTTCTGAGTCAAAAAATCATTGTAATCTGGCAGAGAGAAACTTTACATCTGCATTTAATTTCCATATCTCGGAGGAGTGTCCCGGAATTACCATCTTCCTTATTCCTTATGGCTGAAACAATGCTAGCACACCTCTATGTAAATAACTTTTAGCGTGGGAGGAATTGAATGCATGCCACCGTCAAAACAAATCTACTTGCTTTATGGTTTAACACACCAAGTGTTTGAATTCAAAGCGTTTAAAGAACGTAAACTTTGTTGTTAGGATGAGGTTTGTGGGTGTGCATGTGTCTTACCTTTGGTTTTCAAATGAATGTAAATGGGTTGAGAAGGAATGACATTGAATGTTTGCTCACACACTGCAGCTTTGTTCCAAGGACAATTGTGTTCTGTCAGTGCTGCATTCATTACGTTCCCAGAAACGACTAGCAAAAGTGTTTTGTCTATGTTAAATTCAGAGATTAAAAAATACCACGAGCACCATTTTGGTATGTTACATACTTTAAATAGGACTATTCTGTTAAAATCCCTGCATATTGGCCATCAAAGGAAATTTGGATATAGGAATTCTCGTGTGTGTGTGTGTGTGTGTGTGTGTGTGTGTGTGTTGTGTGTGTGTTGTGTGTGTGTGTGTGTGTGGGTGGATGAAAGAGAGAGATCTGCATGGGTGGCCTTTCATAGACGTGTACTTTAACCTTTCTCACACCAGGAAAGGGAAAACAAGTGGATAACCATGGCATTTACATGATCTTGACCTCTTGGGGAATTCTTCATTGCTTCTTCTTCGTTTATTTTAATCATTGCCAAGATACCATTAATCAAGGTATTTTTACTTTCCAGCCCTGTAATGAGTACCTCTTATCTCATTTAAAGGAAGGCAGTTTGACAAAGTGTTGTTGTTTTGTACTGAATTGAGTTTCCCATGTAATATGGTAATGAGTCTCCTTTCTCTGTTTTTCCCCATGGACTTTTACAATTTTTTTAAAATGGTTAAATTGGTTCGGCCTTGGTATTTTCCCCTGAACTCCTCAAAGGTAAAGTACCCAGACATGGTATTGATGATTTTGATGTTCAATTTGATTAAAATATTTTGCCTTTTTATGGCATATCGTTTGGCAGCAATTCCGTATCATGTATTCAAAACCAGAGCATTTTTGGCTAATCTGTCCCACATTTATCCTGCAGTGGTATACAAACAGACTTTTAAAGGATCGATTAGTGAGTGACACATTTCTGCAAAACATAGAATCAGTCTCTTTCAGAGTAACTTGCATTGCTATTCTTATGGGTGAAAAAAAAAAAGATTATGTTGAAGACATTTTTGAAACATCTTGAGTTTTGGTTCATGACATGTCGAAATGCAAAATGATCAGGTTGGAATGTTGCTTTCGTTTGTGTTTAATATATAGGCCTACAGCAGAAATATGTGAATTGTCATCTGGTTTCATTGAGATTTTTTTTTTTTTTTGAAGGGCTCAAATGAGTAAGCAAATGACATTGCAAATTAGCAAATTATTGATACATATATGGGTTATGAAGTTCACAACATTTGACAAAGTGCACTAAACAGTTTTCAGAGTTCAAAAGTTCTCTTATTTAACATTCACAATTAGTTTTTTCAATGCTCAACAACATTCATCAAGCATAACATATCCACTTTGTCACATTTTTTTTTTTTTTTTTTTTACTATTTATAGAAACATATTGCTGACCCTTGAATGCCAATGATCCATGAACACAACTTTAATAACAAGGAGAACAGCAACCACCATATCACACCTTTTCACAAATTATGAATTTTTATCAGTTTTAGTGAATATATGTTTCAGGTTATGCCCGACATTAAATTATATCATTTGGTAAATGCTGCTTTTTGTGAGTGCAGATATAAAATATAACATTATTTTTATACTCTTCTTTATCCAGTTGGCTAATAGCTAACATAAGTAGGCCCTAATGGGAAAATTATCATGGCAAATCATTGGTGAAAATGTGTGGGAAAACTACATAACTATATATTTCATAGAATATACTTTCCTGATGTCATTTGGCTAAGCTGTGTGACATCTGGTGTCACAAAGTTTCTGAAAATGAACTTAAATAATCTTTTCCCAACACGAGGGTACTTTAGTTCAGACGTCCTCACTCCATCTCTGTCTCCACCTGGTGGCCGTGGGATGAATCTCATCAGTTCTATTAGTTTGGTCTGGAAATAGATCTCTACATCGATTACTCTCTTAATGCCACATTAGACTAGTGAGTCTAACGTTTATTCTGTCATGCTGGCATGAGCTGATAATAATAATTTGAAAACGTTCAATGTATTAACCTGATGATACAGTAATATTTTGCTTTGCTCTACAGATTTGAGTCCTATCCTGAAATCTGGTCTCAATTTAACCCTGCTCTATTTGAACTTGTCATGTCATTCATTTTATTATAAATACGTACCTTATTGTCTTTACATATCTGATTGATAGTGAAATATATTTAGGTGTCAGGATGAGTTTAGCTTTCAGCAGGGCTCCTCGAAAGACTGCGGGAAACCGCATGTCCAGACTTCTGGATGCAGAAGAGGAGGATGAGTTCTACAAGACCACCTATGGAGGATTTCACGACGTGAGTGATGAAACATCACCTGTGCGGCTTGTCGTGGGCTTGTGTTGACATATTTACGCAAATGTAATACATTTACACTTGTATGACTTGTTTCTGTGAGAATGTGCCCTGTCACCCTGATTTTTATTGTCTTGAGACTGTCAGGAGATCATTATCCCATGACTCTGGAGTCATTGTGCTTTGATTTATTCCGCCTACATGCTAGTTTCACAGTTTAACTTATAACATACAGTATATAATACTTATAGCCTATATATTTTTGCATATAATTTGGGCACGTTTCGAATATTTCACCTTAGTTATTTTTTGTCAATGTATTGTATGGAGATTTTTACATATATACTCTCCCATATATTGTATAGAGCTTTTAGAGAAATAATAAATTAGATATTGTATTGGATAAATTATTCTAATTGAACGTAATCTATGCAGTAATATGTAGCCATTTGCACCTGTCTAGAGTCTCATCTTCGACTTTGAGTCCTCAAAACTTGATTTGTGTAGGAATCAGGTGATGAAGAGTATAAGGGTGACCGGTCTGAAACAGAAGATGAGGTGGACAGTGACTTTGACATTGATGAAGGGGATGAACCTGACAGCGAGCAGGAGGAGGACGGGCCACGTCGGAAGAGCAGAGTGGTGACCAAAGCCTATAAGGTATATGAGAGTTATTCAGATGACTGGGAATATAATGCACGTGTGTGTTGTATGGACTAGTTTTATGCTTCTTTTATGCTTCTTTGGAAAAGAGAGACCAGTACATTCTGTACCTAAAGTAAATAATGACAAAATGTTCATTTTTACGCCCCTTTTAATCCCAGATCCTTGTGTTTGTGTAGGAGCCCGTTAAAGTGGTGCGGCCGAAACCAAAACAACGTAAACTGGCTGAACTGCCTAGGAGGACAGACAAGACAAAGATCGACAAATACAACCCCCCTGAACTACAGGAGGACATCAGCAAGAGTGAGAGTCTTTCACTTTGTTCACGCATGCACAAGTGACATAACCGAACATACATAGCCAACCTTTTTAATGATCAGTGTAAGTATATTCTATAATGTTTTCATTTGTTCTTCCCTTTAACAGAAAGAACAAGTCACTTCAGTTCATTGCTCAAAAAATGTGTGGAACTAAATCAATTAATCAGATTGATACATTTTGTTACATTGTGCGAACTGTTAAAGGTGGTTTTTATTTTTATGCAGTGATATACAAACAGTATTTTTCTTTTACAGATTTACCCTCACTCCTTCTTAAGAAGTGACTGCCATAAAATAGGTTTCTGCAAAGAAAGTAAACATTATCATAACAACATTATTCAACAGGAAGTGAGTAGATGTTAATGATAACAGATGTTTTTCAAAATAATAAAACATTTATGAACCTGATTGCGTATTTAATCTAAACTCATAAAACACAAACAAAACAGCATCTATGTAGTCATTGTTTTGCTTCATGTGCATTAGTTTATTTCCAGTGCAATAAAATGTGTTTGTTGGCTACTAAAGATAAAAACAATCCATCAATAAGTTGTCAATGAGTCTATTTTACATCCCTTGCAGGAAAGCCAACAATTTACTCACGTGTCGACGACATCATAAACTGTTGGAGATAATAGACAGAGTGAATGTTAGTAAACATATCCAAATCAATATCTGATGAATTGTTTTTGTCTTAGACAGGAAGTCTGTTCGTCAGTCCACGACCGAACACACACGGCTGACGTACCTGAGGCTGCAGGAGAGGCAGGTTGCTCCACGTCGAAGGAAGGGTACTAGACATGAGCGACCTTTGACCCAGGCTGAGCTTTTGGCAGAAGCCAAGGTCACAGCAGAGATTAACCTTCGATCGCTGGGTGAGGAATTGATAACTGATACTTTTGCAAATTGTTCTATCTGTAAAACTTGAATGCTCATAGCTGTTTGTGATTTTTTTTTTTGCAGAAAACTATGAGCGTTTGGAGGCAGACAAGAAACGACAGGTTCATATGAAGCGTCAGTGTGTGGGTTCTGTTATCCGATATCACTCGGTGCTCATGCCCCTGGTTTCGGACGTCACTCTTAAAGAGGAAAACGTGGATGTAGAGGGGTACTTCTACTGGTTCATCATCTCTTTCTGAATGTCTTTATGCATACTTCTTTTGCTTTTGACTTTTTTTTTACTTCTCTTGCTTTTTAGACTTAGACTTTCATTATCTTAGGTGGGGCGTATATTTGATCTAAGATCGATCTAATCTTTATATTGCCTGGCACTTAAAACTGGGCAGATAAAGCATGAGTGCACTTATGTTTACAAATACTTTCATTCATTAATTTGACCTAAAAATTCCTTTTTTTTTTTTTTCGGTGTGTGTGTGTGTGTGTGGGGGGGTGGGGGGGGGGGGGGGGGGGGTGTATTTAGAGGTGAAGGTTATTTTTTTCTGCATCTAATGTGTACATACATTATTTTAAACATTTTTCAAAAGTACTGTTGAGTTCTACATGTGTACATCTTTTTTATATTTAAACAAACATGTTAAACATGCTTAAAGTATAATATAAATAGAAATTCTAGGATAAACAATCAAAAAACAACTTTTAAAAAGGGATGTACTATATCATACATCATTCTATCAGAAATAAATTATACTCTTAATTATAATTAATTAATTTATAGTAATTATTTATGATATTGGCAAAAAAATAAATACAGACATCTTTGTGATGGTTATGGAAAATGTATTTATTTTTTATTTCCAAGGGAGACACTACAATTCATTTTCCTATACACATTCTATATTCTAAAATTATGTTAACGTTTTATGAGAAAAAAAATGACTGCACCTTTTTATCTTTATATCTCTTATGTCTTTACATTTTTTTTATCGTTACCTCTCATTAACAGTTTGGACCAAGATGCCCTGCAGAATCCAGGCCCTCACCTTCCACAAGCTCTTTCCCAGTCAGTATCAACCCTTACTGCCCCACCTCGTGTCCTATCCACTAACACAGCTGCTGTAAACCCTGCCAAATGCTCCCGCACCTACATCACATTCAGTGATGATGAATCTTTCCTGCGTTTCTTTCCCCAGTCCCCAGCTCCTCGAATTCCTGTCCAGGAGGTCTGCCCTGTTACCCATAAGCCTGCGCTTTACAGAGACCCCATCACGGACATTCCATACGCTAATGTACAAGCCTTTAGGATAATCCGGGAGGCCTATAAAAAGTATGTGACTGCCCACGGCCTGCCCTGCACGGGCACAGCGACTCCAGCCGATACCACTGCAAAGAATCTGCGGCAGAAGATCATTATTAAACAAGGGATGTAGAAAAATACAGAATATCAATCCATCTATCCATCTATCCATCCATCCATCCATCCATCCATCCATCCATCCATCCAGTGTTCTTTGGTGACATACAGCCAGAGTATTTGTAAGTGGAATAAGCTTCATTGATGTATGGAATGTGTAGTTTTTTTCTTTGCATAATGGTTTTATGCTTTTTTTTTTTTTTTAAATGCACTTTTTAATGTGATTATGTGGTGATATGTATTTATAATGTATTCATATTAGTAAAAACAGCAGTAATGATTGCTGTCCTGTAGCCTATTGAATGTCACTTGTTATTTTTTATAATAAAAAAAAATTGGTCCATCTATAAAATGTGCTTATGTTGTAGAGAACCGACTTCTCATTACAGCCAATGTATAAAATTCGAAAAAATTGTCAACAGAGATAGCTTCAAATTCGGGTCTCTCCTAATTGCAATACCGCGTCTATACCCTAGAGGTCAGTCCTATCTACCAAAATGTAACACTTTTAATGAGTAAACCTGAGTTAATGAAACAGATGACTACATGAACTCTCTCTCTCTCTCTCTCTCTCTCTCTCTCTCTCTCTCTCTCTCTCTCTCTCTCTCTCTCTCTCTCTCTCTCTCTCTCTCTCTCTCTCTCTCTCTCTCTCTCTCTCTCTCTCTCTCTCTCTCTCTCTCTCTCTCTCTCTCTCTCTCTCTCTCTCTCTCTCTCTCAGTCACTAATCTCTCAAAGCCAAAATAATGAAATGCTGACCTCATGAAGAGTAACCCGTATCCCTGTCTCCGCTCCACACAGAGAGCAGGCGAGTTATCGGGGGACAGACAGCGAAGAAGGGAGGGCTTAAGGGGGGGAAAGACTACCAGGGAGGGGGACGGGGAGAGCGAGGGGCTATTCTCTGATTTCAATCCTACAGTGTCTGTACAGAAGAACCCAGCAGCTCTGAGTCCTAGTGAGGGTAGGTAATCTGGTTCTGTGTGTCTCTTCTAGCAACAGAAACACATATTTATAAGCTTTTAAACTTCATAAGCTTGTATTTTTATGGCTATTTCAGTATAAAATACACGCATTGTTGCATTCAGTTTTTAATTGCATGAATTATTATTTCGTTGAAGCAATCAGTTAATGGGTAGGCCCCAGTGAGTGGTTCGTGGTGTATTATTATTAGAGTATTATCAGAGTAGTTAGAGACTATAGATCTAGTTAGATTACTTGGGTTAATTTATATTTTTATGTTAGAGTAAGGCTTTGTGTTTTCCAGGGTCTCCCTGCATGCACCTGTTGATATGAGGTTTTATCAAAACAATCTTTCTTTTATTGAAAATGTCAGTCTTGTTTAATGCCCGCTGATTGTCATCCTTCTATGTAATATAATTTTCTTAGATATATTTTTGTTTTTAAAACAGCCATTATTTCCCCAGCCGGCAGTGCTACTGCACACTGTAGCTTTGCAAGTGGAGAGGATTTATGCAGCTGGAACTGGAAGTAGCTGACTTGTGAAGCTAAAATTAATCTGAGGTTGATTTGGAATTTTACACTTGGGTGGTTAGACTTGGTGAAGTCAACCTACATATAGTGTGAAGTCTTATGAGCTGTGTGTCCGCTGGAAAATGCTCCCAATAAAAGTCTATGAATAAACTATGAATCTGAATAAGAAGGTTGTTTGCTGCATGTCAGAAGAGTTCTGGCCACTTTTTCTGGTGGATGATATGTATCTGATGTGTCAGTGCCCAATATTTGTTCTGTGTCCTTTTGAAGTACTACCAGAGGGGGAATTGGGTTTCTGAGACCGAACCAAGGTTTTTGTCATATGGACAATAATAACTTTGTGGCCTCTGGAAGGAGAGCAGTCAAAAGAGTCAGGTTGCTTTTGGAGATGCCTTTAGTCAGTTTAAAGGACAGATTTAAAGTTATTTGCCATGTTGTTCAAGAAAATGTAGAAACTAGAAACTAGAAAGGACTAAAAATCAAGGTTCCAAAAGGCGGGTTTCACTGCAGTTCAATAGAAGAACCATTCTGTTTCCCAAAGATCCTTTCAGTGAAAAGTTCTTTAAAGAACCATTTTTTTTAAAATTTATTTCTTGGTGTGAAGATTTGAACCTTTTTCAACCTTTTGTGCAATGGAAAGTTTCCATGGATGTTAAAGGTTCTCCATGGAACCATGGATGCTAATAAATAATTTTATTTTCAAGAGTTTGGAAGTTCTGCCTACATTCCTAAAAACAAAGGTTCCATGAAGAACCTTTAACATCCACATAAACTTTCCACTGCATACAAGGTTCTTTAGATTTTTTTACACACTAAAGGAAAAAATGGTCTGTTTAAGAATTGTTCACTGAAATGTTCTTCTATGGCATAGCTGCTTTTATTTTAATGTGTAGTTCTGTCAATATTGTTTTTCTGTCTGTCTTTTTGCATGAGTTTAATCACTTAAACAGTTCAACAAACATGCCCTATCTGATTTTTTTTTTGTTTGATTTGGAGTTGAATCATTATAATTCGAAGACTATATTACAACAACTTTAAAATGATATCTGTAACACACATATCAATTCAACAGAACAGTTACTTTACCAACTAAAAGTAAAATTGAATTAAATAAATATTTTCTCCATTGGAAATGTCAAATGTTAGCTGCTGCCTTGCAACAGTGAAATAACAAGGATTCCATGTTGAAGGACTAATTTTAAAGACCCTCTTCACAACCAGCGAGCCTGAACAGGTGAAACTCAGCTAATATTATTTAGGCTTGCTCGAGTTGGTGTCACTTAAGAGTTGAGAGAACAGGTGTGCGGAACAGGCAGACTGCCGCTTATTTTTCTTGCACAACACAAAAAAGATGACACCTGGTCAACAGAAGCCATGCTTTTGGCCTGTATGTTTATTGTAAGACTGAAGAGACAATAGTTAATAGCTATTTATAATCCCTGAGCTGTCAATCTTGTAGACTGACAGGTTCCTAAAAGACTGGTGTCAGACGCATTGTCCATTTCTGAGGGCAAGGTCATTTAGAAGATAGTTAATGTCATTAACCTTTGTTTAAAACTGAGATTGTATTAAACTTAAGTTAGTTAGATATATTAATTCAGAGAAATGTAAGTGCTTTGGTAGAATAGGTAAAATTTTTATATGTTCAGTACTAGCGCAGAGTCTTTACCATTAGTCCAGCTAAAGACAAGTCAAGTTAATTATATAATTAATTTAGACAAGTAACTAAATCTGAAAAACAATTCTGCTAACGATGAATAATTATTCTTAAAATGGGGCGAGGACTGGGTTTTGTGATGTAATGATTAGTAAACTTGTACTACATGATTCATTAAACTTGTATCACATGTGGTGGATTGATGATGTCTACAATATTTTGTTTTTGTTTTCTGTTTTTAGCTCTCTGATCCTGTGTTTGTGTCACTGGCTTTACAAATTAGAGGCATGCTACTCTGGTCTAACACCTCTGATAGACAGACAACCACAAATACACACCCAAAAAACAAACACAAAAACACATTTGTTTTTTTTAGATTCTTCCCATAATATAACATTAGCCATCACTAACTAATCTGCTCATTACTGGTACTTTACTATATTTATTTCATTATGTAGCAAGTATCAGGAGTCTATGTTCATGAAAGTGTGGAACATAACAGATCTGTGTGATTCATTGTGTGAAATTTAGCAGTAATGTTCATTAGCATATATTTAGATCATGACCTCGTTGGTCTCCAAATGGTTTTACTACATGATTGTAAACATTGATCGCCGATCTTAAAAAAAGTTATTTGATTAGAAATATTTACATATCAAAAGCATTTGAAAGATTACAATCAAACATTTTTGGAGAGCTTTAGCTTTTTTTTTTCAAGTTAAGACAAATAAATTGTATCTGTATCTGAGTTTAGGTCTGTTACACAACAACATGTTAGTCTGTATTGTCTGTAGTTTGTGTTGCAGATCTAGTTTGGGTGTGGTGGTCTGAAACGGTTGACTAGCCCATGACTCTATCAGCCTGTTTAACAGGCGGCCACCTTCACATGAGTGTGAGCCAGTGATAATTCCTCACAGTTCTAACCTCCTTCTCCTTACTGTAACCCAAAACCCAAGCGTTACTGTTGAGAGACTAAAAATAGACAAGATTCTCTCTGTCTCTGTGCCTTGGAATCAAAAAGCAGTGAGTTCTTTCCTCATGTCCCATATGATCTTAGATGGTGTTGTCAGAAAGGCATATCTCTGTTCCCAAGTACACTATACCCTCAGACCCCCAAAAGCTCTTCCTGTACACAAATGCTAGCCTTGTCCTTTTAATTCAGCTGGGCTTTGTGGCATTTAACAATGTAAGCGGTTCCCGATCGTGGACTTTCAGTGTCTGGCTCTTTTGGCCAGGCTGAAAGTGACTTGGACTGGAAATCAGGTTTTCCCATTCATTCTCAACTTCTACAGAAAGCTTTGAGGGACTGAATAAAGCAAGCAGCCATTATTGTGCCTTATTTGCAAGCCAAATATATTAAAAGTTGTTTTTTGTGCAAGTTTCTGGCTTAAACTTTTATCTCTCTCTCAGGGCCCGCTGTCTCTGGGCGAGCTGTGTGAATTGAGAGTACCAACAAGCATCAAGCATGTCTAAGAGCGATCCCCGAGACATTGACGAGGATGCCATCCTCAAGGGCCTCAGCGCAGAGGAGCTGGAGAAGCTGGAGTATGAACTACAGGAGATGGACCCTGAGGTACTATGTCGTGCTACTCTTTAAATCATGGCTATCCTTTGAGTACATTACGGACCTTTTGTATAAGCAATTAAAAGGTTTTGCCACATGCAACTGTTTGCAAGGTGACATCAGTTGTAGACGAGATGAGAAAACATATGACCAAAGAGAAAAACCCCTCTGTTTTTCAACAACTCGGTAGTGCCATGTACATGGACTCTTGCAAATAAAGGTTTTTTACTGGCATCGATGGTTCCATTAAGAACCTTAAACATCAATGGAATCTTTCGATTGCACAAAAGGTTCTTTATAGTGGAGAAAGGTTCTTTGGAACCAAAAATGGTCCTTATATGGCTTTGCTGCAAAAAATTTGCATTTTTAAGTGGGTTACATATTTGAGTTCAGCCCAAAAACAAATTTAAATCAATAAACAAATGAATGAATGAATAAATTAACAAACAAAAAAGCAAGCGAGGGGGTGAATGAACAAACGAAACAAACAAATGAATAAGAAAGAGGTAATGTCCAGTCAGCCAGTCATTTTCGCAAATTAAACCCAGACAAGGTGACCTCGAGACACAAGATTGCACCAGTTGCTTTGCATAAAACAAGGGAAAAAAAGAGCCCGCAGTGTGATACGAGAGACATGAAACTAGCACTGTTTCAGCGGAACAATGGTCTGATATAAAGCGATGCTTTGTGCAACCGCGAATATTCGGAAATATGTGACCGCTGAATGCAGGGTTTGACCAATCAGAGTCAAGTATTCCAGAGATCTGCAAAATAAATAAGCATAATTGCTGCTGAGTTTGACAATGATCGCCATGCATTTTTGTTTTAACTAAAAAAGAGCAGCTTTGACATTTTGACAATACATTTTGTGTCCCATTGCAAAAAAAAAAAGAAAAGTCCTGGGAGTTTGTAATGACATAGGGGTGAGTAGATGATGACGGAATTTTCT